CTGTCCCTCAGCCAGGAGGACACCTTCTCCCGAGCACCAATGCCAGGTAGAGCTGAGGTACCACCTGCTCCTGGAAGTTGAGCACCAGGAACCTGTGGGAGGTCAAGGGTCAAGGATGGTGCGCCTCCCCTTGCCTCACAGTTACCCGAAATCCACCACCGCAAAGTCCCAGGTCAACTGCACCCACCCCAGATCCCCTCTTGCCTTCCGGTGAGTGGAGCTGGGCAGAGGGCCTCGGGGCATGTCCAGGCGCTGGGTCAGGCGGTGAGCACGCAGCTGGGCCACCCAGCTCTGGAACAGGTCCTGGGATTTGATCTGCAGAGGTGGTGGTGACGGGAGAAATGCATGTAAGGAGAGAGTGCCTTCCGGGAGCAAGAAGTTGGGGCTCTGGTCTCCAGGAAAGCAAGGTCTCTCCCCAAAGTGCCAGGTCATGTCAAGCCCCTGGTAGGGAGATAGAACTCAGCTTCCCCAAGTGTCTGAGCCCCGGCTCTGTGCCTGATCACATACCCGCCATCAGAGGTGGTTCGCCACGGGTCACTGTCTACAACGGCAGTTCTCTTGGGCTCGCAGACCTCAGCCCCCGCCCTCCTCTCCTGTGTGCCCTGAGCCTCTGCCAGGCTGGGGGCTAAGCCACCACCTGTTTCCAGAAATGTCACCTTGAGGTGGTAGATGTTGTCTTCAGTGTCAAGATCAATGCGCTGGGCCTTTTTGTTGATGGACATGACAGACAGTCGGACATCAATGGAGCCATGAAGCTTCCCCTTGGTGATCTGGGGTGGAGGGTTAGTGGGGATCGGGCAAGTAGTTTTAGGCTCTTAGAGTCACAGAGCCAGCATCTTCCTGAGGCCACTCTGGGCTAAGTCACGGTATCAGCAGGGCCCCAGTCACCCTCCTGTGCACAGAACCTCCACTAAGGAGCCAGAGAAAGGAAAGCTTTCCCAGCCTCAGGAATGGCAGGGCTGAGGAAAGAAACACCCTCTTACAGAGTGTGGGCCCTGAGGCCTGGGAGTCCTTGTTTCCAGCACGGGGACAGGACAAAGAAGGGAACAGGACAAGGATGAGGCTGAACAAGTTCCCGTTACTTGGGCACTCACTCTGTGTCAGGCTCTATCCTGAGAGCCCTTAGGAAGATGATGACATTACGAATGGGTGAGCCCACTCCCGCATCTTAGAGACTAAGAGCTGAGGCCCAGGGAAACCGTTTGCCTGAGACCCTCTCCCAGCCACTGCTGTGCCTGGGGTCAGAGCCTGCTCTGGTCCATTTCAATTTTGGAAGCCCCTTGCCTGCCCAGGACATTCTGGGCCCAGACTCCTCCCACAGCCCTGGCCGGGCCCCGACTCACGTCTTGCCGAGTGGTGGCATAGTGAAGGATCCCATCCTCAAGCACAAAGTATCTCTGTGGCACCACGGGTGGTCAAAAGAAAAGGGTATGGGGGCGAGAGAAACCACATAGATGGGTTTTTCTTCTCCTCGGCAGCCTGCTCTGCCCAGCAACACTCCCATGACCCATCCAGCCCCAGCATCTGGCCCCTCCCTCTGCCCTACCCGCCCTACCTTGTGCCAGCCCTTCAGAGGCCACTTCCTCTTCTTGAGCAGGTGGCCTTCCTGTCGCTCCGGCATGATCCCTTCAGTCCCCGGCCTGCCCCGAGGTTCCTCCACCACCTCCCACAGCTCGGAGGCCTGCAGTCCAGGACAGAGAGGCAGGGGAGTGGCTGGTGAGGCCACATCTTCTTCTCCCCTTGGGCCAAGCTAGTGTCCCCCCACTTCCTGTCCCCCCCACCCTCAGACCTGCTGGGCACTGCTGAGCTTTACAGACTGAGTGCTTTCGGCCAGGGAGGGAGGGTCCCTCTCCTGAAAGTCCATGGAGAAGGGAGCAGCCACTCCCTGCTGAGGATGTAGAACAGAGTGGACAGGGAAGGATGTCACCTGGTCCTTAGAGGGCCCTGGAGGCAAGAGAAAGACCCCATTAGCACAGACCCTGGCATCACCTTCTCTGCCTCCGACCCCTCCTACCCCTCTGGCACCCTCTGTGATAAGAGTGCGCCAACACACCATCCACTCACCTGCCAGCCCCTCCAGCAGCCTGACCCTACCCACCCTGAGCAGTCTCCCTGCACACACCCAGCGGCTCAGCCACTGCTCAGAGAGGCGGACCGGCAGGCGGCAGGCAGCCCTGTGCTCAGAGCAAACCGCGAAAAGCCCGCCCAGCCCCACCCTGGGCACACATTCTTGGGCTCCAGGAAACACTTGGTGCTTTCTCTGAAGGCTTCCCTGGGGGTGACCAGGGGAGTGAAGGAAAAGGCTTCAGAGGAATTCAGAGACTGGACAAGCAAGATCTCAATCCAGTTCTTCCTTCAGGACCCCTGTACCCCCCACCATGCCTTGGGTCCACCCTGGCTTGCCACACTCTTTCTGCAGAGCCCCCTACCCCCATCTGCCCTTTCATCCCAGCTCCCTACCAACTGTTCTCCATTTCCTCTAGTTCTTGGACTCCCATTCTCTAAATGGGGAAACTGAGGCCTCAGATGCCCCCCCTTTTGTCCTGTGCCTCCTCCCATCAAAGATTTCCCCTAGAAGTCCCATCTTAAAACCTCAGTCCTTCCCCCTCCCAGAGACTTGCCATCCCCTTTCTACCATCCCAGTCCGTGGGACTCCTGCAGTGGACCACCCACCCACCCAGCGTAGGGGGCTGTGCTGATGGAGACACTGTGGGAGGGGAAGACGTGGCCAAGAACATGCCCAGGTCCGCACAGGCCCCGCAGCAGTGCCCATAGGCACCCCTGGCACCAGCCCGGGCCATGCTGGCTCCACGGGGAGATCAATAATGCATGAGGCTGCATGTGTGAGAGGGGGAGGGGACCAGAGGGGCGAGGCTGGCCCAAGGCTGGGGAGACAGCTCAGCTCTTTATGGAGCTAGCAGGCACCTGAGTTGCTGAGGCCAGGAAGTGACAGGAACGTGCCAGGGCAGGGGTGTTCGGGAGATCGGGGCTGAGGGGCCCATGCAGCAAGAGGTTGACTGGGGCACGAATGGGGAACTCCTGCATTCAGCCATTGAAAGTTCCCAAACTCTTCCAGTGTTTGGATGTCTCTGTGCCCTTTCTGGCCCCCCAGGATCCTGGCTCCTCACTGCTTGTGGCTGGGGGAGGCTCTGTCAGTAGGATGCAGGGTCGGGGTGAACCAGGTGGGTGTCCCCACTCCACCTCCATTCCCGCCCGGTCCCCGGAGGTGCAAACCCACCAGCTTCAGGTGGGAGGAAGCCCTCTCGGGGCAGTCAGCTGATGCCAGCGCGGCCCCCTTACCCCAGGGTCCATGGACGTCAGTGCTCCTTGGCCCGTGCCGCTCTGCCTCTGAGTCACCGTCTCCGAGTCGCCTTCTCGCTCCTCTCTGAGCTGAGCAGTGGCAGCAGCTGCTGCAGGAACCAGGAAGGAAGGAGAGTCGGAGCCTCCCCTCCAGCCGGATCTCCCTACCTCCCCCTCCCCCGGCCCCTCCTCCCGCCAAGCTCTGGGCGGCCGCTCAGCTCTGCCCCCCTGCTCCCGGGAGGACTCAGGGCTGAACGGACTCCCTAGCGCAGAGGTGGCTCAGGAATGGGGGCACAGTCCCCACTGGCCCCCACTGGGCACAGTTCCAGATGGATCACAGAGAACCGGAGAGCGGTTGGCCTCAGGCCAGCAGTGTAGAGGGTTTACTGAGACTAGCATGGCCTTGACCTGTTAGTACACAAGGCCGTTTCCTCATTAACCCCCGCCTCTCATTTTACATCTGAAAATAGATTGCAAAATTTACAGCGAGCGAAGGTATCAGGTTGATGGAAAGGGATGGATGCCCCTCTGGAACCTCACAGACAGTGCCAAGAGCATAGTCAGCAGAGAAGTGAAGGCTGGAGGGGAACAGTCTGCGAACCCCACATGAGCTGTCAGAGCTGTCATTAGGGCGCTGCCCCAGGTCAGGACCGGTGGGACTGGCAGCATCTATGCAATGAGACAACCAGTGAACAAACTCGGGTCCCCCTCCCTCCCTTCTGAGCGCTCCCCACCCTCCGCCCCCTACTGATGTGCCATGTTCAGTTACTCAATTCTAAGGAAGAGCCAGCACTTCTGGAAGGCCTAAAACTCAAACAAATGTGCAACACACTGCCAGCATTAAGTGTGGTGGAGCCACTTTTGGAACAAGAAGCGAGTTTTTGATGGTGGGTGAAGGTGAGAGATGCAATGCAGGTTCTTCTTGCGACCCAGAAATGATGTAGCTTTCTTCCCCTATCCACATCTCACGCAGGCTTTGGTTTACCCTTCAGGGTCTCAGGAGACACCTACTCTGCTCCATTCAGAACCTCAGCACTGCTCCTGCTGCCCCAGGATAGGGACTTGTTAGCAAGTAGCAAGGGAGTCAGGGAGAATACTGGGCAGCACTGGCCAGGCCAGTTCTGGCATTCAGGAGCCCCAAGGGCCTTTTAAATCACTTCGTATTGATTGAGCATCCCTGGGCATATGGCACAGAGCTGGGCACTATGGGAAGTTGATCCAGGACCAGGCCACAGAAGTGTCTTCAGACCATCTCTGCCCAGGACTACAGATGCTGTGGCGCTGCTCCAAGCTCAGGAGGAATGTTCAATATCACCCTCCTCGTGTCACCCCTCAATCCATCCAGAATGTGCTCCAGTCAAGGACAGTTGAGTATCCTTTCCCCTTCATTAGGAACTTTTGGTTCCCTGAGGCGTGGAGGAAGCTTCTACTCCAAGTCCCCAGTTCCCTTCACTGATACAGTTCCCTTCACTGATAGAGCTGGTTTGCCCCCAGCTTTTTGCTCAGAATCTCCTGAGGGACGTGAGCCTTGGGGCAACACTGTCAACTGCCTTCCACAGGACAAACAGGTAAGAGATGCCATTTGTGGGAGCAGTAACAGGGAGGTAACAGGACATGAGAAGAGGCAGGATCTAGGAAGGGAAGTGAGAGTCAGCGATGACCATGAGAATAAGTGTGGAAATAGCAAGACGGGGGAAGTAAATTCATCAAAACAGAGGAAGTAAATTGCATTTTTTAATCAAAAGTTGTATGCCCAACCTTCCCACAACAGGGCACACCCGAGGGCAGAGGACATCCAAGCACACCTGGGACCCTAATGAGGCAGCTCCGTGTAGCAATCCAGGGCATGGCCGTCAGAGCAGAGAGAGCCTGGTTCAAGCCCCTATTCTGCCACTTACTAACTGCATGCCCTTGGGCCGGCTATTTAACTTCTCCACCCCTTAGGTGCCTCTCTTGAAATGGGGGTGACATGGTGAGAAATAAAGGGGTACACAAAAGTGTACGCCAGAGAATGTCGAGGTAGGTTCTTAGGAGATGCCACCTAACATGATAACTCGGGTGGGTTCTGTGGCAGGGCAGACTCACGAGGGGATGGGCGGGGAGGGCGGGCAGCAAGGACAGTGGACGAGGAGACAGAAGGCCTCCGCTCGCTGTTCTGCTGCTCTGCCTTGGACCTGGATAGCTGAAAGAGACTTTTCTCCTATCAGGTCCCAAGCTGGGAAGGCGAGGGACAAAGAGAGTGATTAAAATCTCCATCCTGAAATGGAACCTCCAAGTGTGCGCAATCTGAGGCGGTGAAAGCCAGGTAATGGATGCCACTCCCCACCCGCAGTTCTTCCATATCGTGATGGAGGACAACAGGCCACGGAGCAGAGTGCATTTATGGGCAGGCTGGGCACGAGAGGCTGGCTATGAGTCCGGAACAGGGTTGGGAAGGTCTGGCTGCCCATGGGCTGGCCGCGTGGAGTTCCCCTCAGGCTGCTGTCTGACGTACTGATCCAACAGGGTGGTCAGGCGGAGGGGCTGGTTCTGAAGCAGGGAGTGGGTTTGGGCCATGAGGCAGGTGAGCCCGCCCACCAGCTCCCCCTGTGCCAGGGCCAGGCTCGGAAGCTTGGAGTAGTTGATGAAACCCTGCCTGCTGAGGATGGTGTCATCGATGCAGCCACCTAGAAGAAAAAAGATCAGTGGGGCTTCCCCAAAAGGCCTTTCTTCTTTCAAAACAATGCTCCTACCCTGAGAATGTGCTCCCGTTGCGCCTCTCTACCTCCCAGCCTGCCCACTTGGGCCCACCCACCCCACTCTGAGATGAATGCCCACTGCAAAACCCTTACATAATGTATCCACCTGGCCTCCTCCCCACTAGTCAGCTTCCTGAACTTTCTCGAACAGTGGAGAGAAGTTTTATCAACACAGATTCCTGTTACATGCACGTGCGTGTGCGCACACATGCGCAGGAGAGTCTGGGGAACGCTGCCCACTGTTCCCCTTTACTTGGGCTACTTATTTTAAGCGATTTTTGTCCGTGCAGTTATCAATACCCATTACTAGACTCGAGGTGCCTGACGTTCCTGTCCCTGCAGAGCCCTCTCCACCTTCCCTAGTCCCCCCGGGGCAGAAGTGAGCCAACACAGGCAGGCTTCAACACACGGTGCTGCTGTCTCAGGCCCACCCAGCAGGGGATGTCCCTGGCTTTACCCACTCGCGCCAGCGGATGGCACTGGGCTGCTGCATCCCCGGCCCCCACCTGTACCCCCCAATGCAGGGTGCTCACTCACCTAGCAGGGGCAGGAAGGGCACAGTCTTCAGGATTCGCACCATCTCCTTGACCTTGGGCTCCTCACTGACCAGCAGCAGGTTGTGCCCCACAAAGAGGGGCAGCAGGTTTTGGTACTTGGAGTTCTCCAGGAAGGGCTTCAGGACCTGGACAGGCAGGAAGGAGGGGCGTGCTGGGGAGGAAGAGCCATAAACCTGCTCACAGACTGCATCAGGCTGATGGTGCAAGCCAGGGGTCTCCTCTGTCCGAATTGCAGTTTCGACACCAGGCTGGAGAGCTGCCTATAGAGGGGGTGAGGGAATCGCCAGATCCCGGGAGCAAGGCTGAGCTGGTCGGGGAGCACAAGTAAAACACATATAAGCCCCCTACCTGGTTGGGGTAGACCTTCATCAAAATCTTGTGTTTCCGCAGCCTGTGCCGGAGAAGCAGCTTGTCCTCTGCACTCAGAGCCACGTTCTGGCAGACGGCGATCATTCGGTTGTCCCGGAAAATTGCTTCTATCTCCCGCCGGAGGAGCCGGATGAGGCCTGTCTCCTGAAGCCAGGAAGAGATGATCAAGGGGATGTAAGCTGCCTCTCTACCCCGCATCCATCCCTTCCTCCCTCAGGAACAGATGCTGGGGCTTCCAGTGACACCCAAATGTGGGAGATCAGGGTACAGGAAGGAGAGCTGATGGCACTCCAGGCCTTCACATTCCTTAGACAGTGGCAGCCTGTACAGCACCTGTTCCAGGCCTGAGAATGCACGGCCCTCAGCACCGGGCAGCAGTCTGGCTTGGTCAACATTATCTGACAACTGTCAAAATTACTTCAATGGTCCCTGTGATAACTGAATCATTTTAGCAACTACAAATCCAAGATAACTTTTCTGGGGTATTCATTCAGGACTGAGGTATTTTCATTGAACAGGGTTTCATTTTCTTACGACAGTGTTTCTCAAAGTTGAGAACCTGTGGACCTGAGGATGTATAACAGACCTCTATCACCACTGTTTCAAGAGATTTTTTTTAAGCACAGCAATGATTGTAAAATTTACTTAAGCAATGGAATACCTAGAAGTCATGGTGTCCTTTGCAATTAAATATATGTACAAGTAAACACATACTAGGTATGTGTGCACTATTCTACCACATACAAGTTCAAATAGTGGATGGTTCCCTGCTGTGCTCAATCTAGATTCTACACCTGTCTGGCCCAACACAGACATCACTGGCCACATGTGCTGTTTCTATTTAAATCAATTAAAATCAACACAAAATGAAGACTCCAGTTCCTCAGTCACACCAGCCTTTCAAGTACTTGAGTCACATACAGTTGGCAGATAACCTGTTGGACAGTCAAATGTTGCCATCATGCCAGAAAGTTCTACAGCAAGGAGCTGTTCTGGATTCTTTTATAGTTATAAGGTAGCATGTACCACTAGCTAGAGGGAAAATTATGGCCAAAAATTTAACTGGGAAAATTTCATTCAAGTATGCAACGTTCATTTGAATGACATGGAAAATGCTGCCAATTAATTTTGGCTGGGCAAAAGATAAGTCTTGCTGAAAGAACCCCAGCATGGAAACACATTTTGCCAAGCACTCTACAGGTTTACCCTTTAGGGCTTGTTTCAGATAGTTCTTTGCTTTTAGGGGAGAAAACCCAGATGGGTGGGTCCTGCCCTCCCATCAGGCCTTGAGGAATCTCTCCTCTGTGTCTGAGCTAAATCCCACAGGCTGCTGTTGCTGCTCTTCCCCCGCTCCCAGTCTCTAGCAGGAGAGGTCTGTTTAACAGTCCTTGAGCAGCAGCAGAATCTATTAGCTACTACAGTAATAGAAACCACCACAGCATTACACATTCTCCACCGGTATTTCTATTCATTTTTAAGGAAAGAAAAACCTCTAGTTGTTTCTCTAGGAAAATGTGGGTGATTCAAGTCTTTCCAAGCAAGAGAGGTGAGCTACTCTCCCCCACCCCTACCTGCCTGTATTGCTTTTACTCACACATTTTTGGAGACAACTAAAGCTTAAAGGAAATTCAGGAGGTCCATCAAATCCAGAGCCCAAAAGGCCAATGCAGAACCAAGTGCAGACTTCATCATAAAGTATCTGGCCCAGGGGTTTGAGGGGGGAAGAATGATGTGGATGACGGTGTTCTGGAGCCCAACTTTACCATGGCCATAGAGACGGCATCACTTTAATCCACCTACCCCCCAATCAGGTGACATGCCCAGTCTCCTCCTTACCTCCTGGGGGGGCTTGGGAGGAGGTGGAAGGCAACTTGGGCTGACAGCAGGTTTGGGGGGGATGTACTCAGTCAGAGCCATCAGTTTCTGCCGCTCAAAGTGCATCACACGACGGTGGCGGGTAACAGCCTTGGAGCCATGGCGGATGGTCTGGATGGTGGGCAGCCAGCCTGGAGAGCAGAGGGGGAGGAAATGGCGGTTCAGTGAGATGCCTTAGTCTGCCTCAGATGGAGTAAAAGCCCACCCTCTGGGCAGAGACAATCACAGCTCACAGAGCTAGACGCGGTACAGTGTGGGAGAAGAAATTGCCAGCTGGAAATTCTGAATTCCCAAAATTTCCCTTCTCTTTTAATGCATGACTTCAGCTAAGTTGATGATGCTTTGAGGTTCCCATTTCCCCAGTGCTTTTTTATGTGCAAAGATGGAAGATGGGGGTGAAGGGGGGAAGACAAGAAGGAAAGTATTTTGAACACATTTGAAAAAGGAAAGAGGGTTGCATAAACTTTTTCTTAAATAGCCCCATAGTAACTATTTTAAGTTTGACAGCCATATGGTCTCTGTCACTATTACTCAACTCTGCCATTGCAGCATGAAACAGGAATAGACAATATGTAAGCAAACATATGTGGCTGCATTCTAATAAAACTTTATTTAAAACATGGTGACCAGTCCTCTCATAATCTGCCATGCCCTGGTCTAAGCCATTGGCTTCCAAAGTGTGGGCCACTCTCCTGCTCCCAAAGTGGCAACATCAGCATCACCTGGGAAATTGTAAAAATACAAATTCTCAAAGCCCATCTTAGACCTACTCAATCAGAAGCTCTGGAGAGGAATCCAGCCAATAGTGTTTTAACAAGCCCACCAGGTGATGTTGATTCATGCTAAAGTTTAAAAACCACTACTCTGAAGCCTTCTCCCATGATATGAAGCAAGAGAGGAAAAAAAACGACACTGCTCTCACAGTCCCTCAAACAAGTTTTCCTTCCATCCACTCTTCTTCTTCTTCTTTCAAGTTGAAAGGCATCCCTCAGAAAAGAAGGCATGCCCCGAAGTCTGAGCCCAGGTGACCCCTTCATCCTTGACAAAGAGCCCACATTAGTTTCCCACTTTCAGCCCTTTGCAAGAGTGAGATGGGATCGCCGGGAAAGGTTCAACTAGAAGGTTGATCTAACAGTCAGAGAGCATGGAGAATTGCTGGGGTAAGAGATTTTATCACCAATGACCATAAAATCCAAGTTAAGCATACGGGCTTTGAATCAGATGGCCCAGATTTCAATATATCTCCTGTTATTTACCGGCTGTACCTGGACCAGTCACTCAATGCTGTAAATTTGAGTTTCTTCATCTTCAACCCCATAAAGAGGGGATATCAATGCATTTTATTCATAGGGGACTTTAAGATTTAAATGAGATAATGCATGTAAAGCATTTATCACTGTGCCCGGCCTGTATCATGTGCTGCATGGCTACTAATATCAGGCACCAGGCCACCTTCTGGCTATGCTGATAAACAAGGCTCTGCCCTTACAGACAAAGCTTACAATCTAATAGAGGAGACAAGTAAACAGATGCAAAATAACAGATTGTGATAGGTCATAAGGATCAATATACCAGGTGCAGTTTTAGGGGGAAACCTGCTTTGCAGAGAGCGGAGAGAGAATGCCTGAAGAGGTGACATTTAGGCTGAGACCTTAAGAAGGGGGCCAAGGTCGGGGCAGAGTGGTCCGAGGAAGAAAAATTCTGGAGGCGAACAAGAGATAAGTGGCTTTACAGAAATCCAAAGGCGGGGCGACGGGCGCGCAGGGAAGAGTGTGGCTGTCGTTGACGTGTTGCGGTTATTACGAGTTTGGAGTCACAGGAAACTAGAAGGGAGCGGACGATCTAGCAGGGGCCAAGGGTCATCGGAAACTGTCTGGGGTCAGATACTCCGGGAGAAAGTCGGTAGCGGAGGAGGGGAGGCGAGCACTAGAGAGCACGGGCCGGACGCTCCGTGAGGACCCTGGGCCGCTCCTTACCCGCCTGGGGCAGGAGACACCCTCGCAGCATCCCAGCCACGGCCGCAGCCATCGCCACCGGAAGCACCGACGGGGAGGCGGGGCGAGCAAGGCGGAAGGAGCTGAGGATTGTGGGGATTCCGAGGCCGGAAGCGGCCGGCGGAGCCACCCACAGGAGCAGTAGTCCGCATGCGCTGAGCTTGTCAACAGTGAGCCCGCCTTCCTCAACGGCCCACTTGGCGTCTGGTCTCCTAGCAACGACTCGACTCCTAGGAACCGCTCTTTTTCCCCCCTCCGCTATCATCATCATCTACCCACAGTCCCCCGGTGTGCTGCCAGCAAACCCCTGCAACCGCCCTCAAACTCCCGACTGTCTACCTTCATTTACTTTTGTCTTCGGTCCCACCCTAGTGATTTGCTCTGACTCAACCCCTTTCCCTTGTCCCCCAAATCTCTGAGTCTCTCTCTCTTCACACCGTTCTGTCATTCCCAGGGGTTGTCCAAGCTGCTGGACTTTTTCGTTCCAATCCTACAATCCTTCGTTCCAGGCCAGCAACTTTATATCATGCCTGGAGGTGAGGAGGGAGGTGGAGGGGTGGGTAGAACAGATGGATAACAGTGGGGGCAGGCATCCCAAAATAAGGAAATGTAACAACTCATCTTTTCACAGCTAAGCTTGCCCAGGGCCCAGAGGAAGAAGGCGTGTGCATCACTGAAGCCCTCATCACTAAGCGGAACTTGGCCTTCCCTGAGGATGAGACTCTGTCAGAGAAGATGTGAGTGTGGGGGAGGGGGTGAGTGGGAGGGGGGAGGGATGTGCTGGAGGATTGAAACACCCAGGATGACCAGCCCTTGAGCTGTACGGATTTGTGGACCCATCTTTGACCCTTTCTTTCCTCTCGCCACACATCCCGCCAGTGGCAGTGTCCAACTGATTTTCCCTCCTTAAAAATCATTCTATTTCTTTTTCACTATGCCCACACACTGCCTTAGATAAGGCAGTTATCACTTCTCAACAAAATCCTGAGCACTCCCTGTGCCCCCTTCCCATACTGCTGCCAAAGGAGCCTTTTAAATGACAAGCATGACCAGGCACTCCCTAATAGACCCTTCCTTGACTCCCTAATAGACCCTTCCTTGACTTCCTGGTACCTCCAGAATAAAGTCCAAATGCCTTCGCATGAGCTGATCTCTGGTGCCTTTTTCTGCCTTATTTCTTGCCACTCTTCACACGTGTGCAACTCCTCTAACACCCCATATTCATACCTTAGCACCTTACTACTCAGAATGGGGCTGGGGCCGAGGCTGGGGGCAGCAATCAGCATCACCTGAGAGCTTGTTAGAAATGAAGAATCTCAGTCCCTACTCCTAGACCTACTAAATCAGAAGCTACATTTTAATAAGACTGCCCAAGGGATTTTTGGGCCCTTTAGGTTCAAATAAGACTGAATTAGCACATACTATTGTTTCTGTTTGAAATGCCTTCCTGCACCTTCCTGTTTAATTCCTACTCATCTGTCACCTCCTCCAGGGTGCATTCCCTGATCCTTCTCCTCTGGAGTCAGTTCACAGCTGAGGTACTCCCTTAATTTGTTGTACTATTGCCTGTCGTCCCTGTATCATAGATATTTTACTTGCTTCCCTAATAACAATGGGCTGGGACTCTGTAATTTGTCTCTAGTAGCCACTCAGCGAATGTTGTGGAATTTTTAATGAATGGGTGGAACAAGTGATTTTTCCCTCCATGGACTGCTCAGAAAGGAGATGAGTAAGGATCTTCCTTCAAAGATTGTCTCATCTCTGTCCCAGCCCCTTCTTCCACCATCCAAGCTGGCCTGAGGAAGGCTTCCAGAACCTCTAAGTCTCCAGGAACCATGAGCAGTCGTCACTCAGTTTCCCAGTTCAAGTGCCCTTAACTCCTCTCTCACTCTGGCCCTCCCAGAGTTACTGACAGAAATCCAGGTCTCCAAGTCAATTGAGTTTCAATCTGGATACCGCCTCATGAGTCAAGGAGTTCCTGACACCTGAGAAGAGTGACTTAGCCACCATCCCAAGTGGCACCCTGTCACCCTACTCACTGTTCTCCCAGGTTTCACACCCTTGCTGAACTGCAGACTGTCCGCCTGGACCGGGAGGGGATTACCACTATCAGGAACCTAGAAGGCCTCCAGAATCTTCACAGCCTCTATCTGCAAGCGGTAACTCTTGCCCCTTGCCTTTCCTCCCGCCATGGACCAAATCTGTCTAATCTGAATGGTCACCTTGCCCATTCCCCAGTGTACAGGCAGGCAGGTCTTCATTTCAGCCATCCCCAGATGAATCAGAAATTCTGAATCTTGAGCATAGCCTTGAGTCACTGTTTTTGGACAGACATGTCTCTTGATCTAGAAGTTCTTGGTGCCTACTCTAAATCTCTCATGTTTCATAGCTGAGCCCATTTCCTGTTTAGAGGAAGAGAATGTGGAAATAATATTCCACTGCACTCTTCAATACTATGAAGGCTGCTTGTTGGGTGGGGAGGGATGCTCTTCAGCATCCCCCCAACTGGTTTTAATGTACGTCAGTCCCTTAACCTTTCCCTGCAGAAACTTTACAAATTCAAGTGATATGTGCGCATTGTTCCCTCCATGTGTACAGGCTACCACCAAGGCCTTTTCCGTTGCCCTGTGACCCTTGGTTCCCTCGGGTCACCCTGATTGTGGGGTGAGCAGGGTGTACTTTAATGAAGTCTCCCCAGTTCCCACGTTTACACTCAACCACCCACCTGGAGAAAGCAAATAACTCCAAGATAGTGACTACCAGTTTAAGAAGTGGGGTGGTGGCTCCCAAAGCGCCAGGTCTCCAGCTGCAAGAGGAGACATGGTCTTAGGACTTTGTCTACTTAAAAAGCCACCACCCTGCTGACCTCAGCTTGGTTCCCCCACCTTGGTTTCTTCCTGCAGAATAAGATTCAGCGAATTGAGAACCTGGCCTGCATCCCCTCCTTACGGTGTGTGGCAACAGGGTGCAGGTGGGGGGGGGGTGCCTGGTATGCCCTGAAGAACTGGCTCAGACCTCGCCAAGCCTGGCTCCTTGTCAGTTGAGGCCCCAGCAAGACTAGCTCTGCTTTCCTCACCCCCAAAGGTCATGTGTCCCCACTGGCCATCCAGCCACCTAGCCAGGGGCCCAGGCAGCAGCTGTCGTGTGCTTTAGCTCTGTCTCTGTGCCTCCGCCTTTCCCCACAGCTTCCTGTCTCTGGCAGGAAACCAAATCAGGCAAGTGGAAAACCTCCATGACCTCCCACACCTTCAGTTTCTGGACCTTTCTGAGAACCTGATAGAAACACTGAAACTGGGTAAGAATGCCCTGGCCCGGGCCAGTGGAAGAAGACTCGTCTTCCCCCCTGGGCTTGCATCGCAGCACCTCCTCCAGGGGCCCTGGGGGCTGTGCACACAGGCCATGGCTTTGGGCTAGAAGGTGGTCTGACCCCCATCCCCCTTCTGGCATGTGCAGATGAGTTCCCCCAGAGCCTTCTCATCCTCAACCTGACTGGAAACAGCTGCACCAACCAGGAGGGCTACAGGTGAGGAGGAAGTGAGTGGGAATAAGGGGCTGACAACCGAGCTCCCCCTACTAACTCCACGGGGACGCCCTCTCAGCCAGCAAACCAGAAGTCCCCTTCCATGGCACCTCTCCCCTACCCCAGTTCAAGCTGGCGCCTCTTCCCCTCTCACTGCTCCACACACACAGCCCTTAGCACCTTGGAGCTGACCGCAGACCCGTGTTGCAGTTGTGAGCACTACTCTGGGTGTGGGTGCTGGGGCTCCATGCCCGGGGGTGCCCTCCCTAGCAGCCACGGCTCTTTCTTCCCTACAGGCAGTCGGTCACAGAAGCCCTGCCGCTGCTCCTGGACCTGGATGGGCAGCCTGTGTCAGAGCGCTGGACCTCAGACGAGGAGGATACGGCCCCAGATGATGAGGACGAGGAGTTCCCAGAGCTGAGTGGCCCGTTCTGCTCAGAGCGAGGTGACCCTGTTTTCCAAGCCTTGCAGCCTCCCCAGAGCTCACCCTTACCCTGTGGGGGCAGGGGGAAGTGAAGATGGCAGCGGGGTTCAGGAGGGTGGCCCCATACCCAGATCAGCATGTGAGCCAAAGACACCAGGGCACACAGGAGGCTCCTTCCCTGTCCCAGCCACAGCCTCCTTCCCATTAGGGCCTAAGGCCCACTTGCTGAGCCCGGAGCTCATCCACCGCCCACCACCCTGGCCCTACAGGGTTCCTCGAGGAGCTGGAGCAAGAGATGATCAGGCACAAGGAGCACAGGCAGCAGTCCGCCCTCATGGAGCACCTGCTGAGGCTGGAGACACAGCCCGTCCTCACCAACCTCCCCCTGCTGCCTTGGGAGCCCATGGCTGGGGATGGCAGCCCCTCGGTCCCTCCCAGGCTAGGGGGGGAGTCACTGCCTAAGCCTACCTCCCTGCCAAAAGCCTCCTCTGCCATCAAGAAACCATGTACGCTGGCTTCTAGGGGTCAGCAGAGCACCGCCCAGGCAAAGAAGGGGACCAGAGCTGCTGTAGCCCCCACAGCCTCTCTGGCTGGGGTCCCCAGCAGAACCAAACCTCTGACCAGAAAAATCAAGAAATGAAGAGCCTCCCCCCTCACCCCCCCCCCCCCCGGTGCTAGAACGAGGACCAGGAAGAGCAGGCACCCTGCTGCCTCCCCGGAGCGCTCATCTGTGGCAGCTCCTGCCCCCAATAAAGCGTGAGCGCTGACTCCATCTTTCACATCACTTGGGGGCATCTCGGGAAGCAATCAGTGCGGGCAACAGAAGCAGCTGCCGAAAATGCAGCACCTTCAGCAGTGGCCTGGTTCTAACGAACAAGTTTCTGGCCTCTGAATAACTACCCAAAAGGCTGGCATACCTGCTCCAGCCCCCACCTGGCTTCCTGGCTCCTGAGAGGGCAGGAGGGGGCATCAACTAGTGAAGGGTGCCATCTCCCAGTAGGTACTGCTCACCACCACCCCTGGGGCATGCCCTTCCAGTGTTCAAGCAGAGGACCAAACCCTGCAGTTCTAATTTTCACCTAATCATCACCACGATGTGCCAGGGCATCCTTCACACCAACTCTCACAGGCGGCCACCCCCTCTCCTTAAAGCCTTCACCATGGAGCCCCTATTACCTGAAGCCAAAGACTCTGTCCCCCAGAGGTGAGCAGACATACCACAGCCAGCTCAGGCTGTACTTTGCCCGCACTTGGCCCTCCCATCCGTCCTGGCCCTGGGATCCGAACAGGGAACGAGAACATGTTTATTGAGACAAAGGCCAAGCTGGCCGCTCAGAACAAGGCTGTGGGGTGGAGGCGTGCTCTGATTCTACTGCATGGGAGTCCTGTGCCCTCTCCCAGCCCCTGCAGCCCAGTGCAGGCCCGGAGCAGCTGCCTTCAGGCATAGGCCTGCCTTTCCTTCTCCACAAAGGCCTGGAAGAGGCTGCCCAGTTCCTGGGGGGCTGGAGCCCACTCTGCTGTCAGCAGCCTCCTCGCAACCTCCAGGCCTTCCTGCTCCAGATCCCGCTGCTTCTGCCGGAGCTGCTGCTCCTTGTCCTGTCCGGGGAAGGAACAGATGAGTCCCTGGGGTGGGCTTCCCTCCAGATTTAGGGAGCCTGTCTGCTGGCACGCACAGCAGGAGGAAGGCAGGCCACCCGGCGTTCTGCGCAGCCGGCTTTGGAGAGACAACCCCTCCCTCCAGCTCTCAAGTCTTCTCTACTCCCAGGTCACCTCCTATTTCCAGAATCCCAGTTGGGGATGGAGGAGTAAGTCATCCCTCCAGGGTGGCCCCTATTCCCTGGGGGTTACCTGCTCACTCTCCATCAGGTTCAGGGCCACTTGGTGTCCACGGTAGAGGGTGTGACGGCGATCCACCTGGGTCTGGAATCGGGGCAGAGTCCGAAGGGGGTCTTGTGCTCCAAAAGTGGGGGACAGCACCTGGGGGGCCTGGGCCGCCCCCACCCCGAAGATGAAAGGTTTGAACACTGACCTAATGGGACACAGTGGAAGGATGGAGACATACTGTGTCTCTCCACTCCCCCGCCTGGCACTCTCCCCTGCCTTCTGCCACCTCATCCCCCTCACCTAGATGGGTCTGGTGTGGCAGTGAGGAAGTGAATACAGGGCTGTGTGGGATCCTGGGGCAGGATGGACACCATGCTGGCTGTGGTGCGGAAGCCTCCAGAGTCCATGCAGATGCCACTCTCCTTGTTCCGGAGGATGCCCATCATCACCTCTGCTGTGATGCCCCCTGGCAAGGAGGACAGACAGGGACCAGCAACCTCAGATCAAGCCCCTGAAGGAAGGGGAGAGGGGCTGGCTCTGAGGCGACCCTCCTGGTTCTCACCCATCCACTCACAGACCTTGCTGTTGCTGCAGCAGCCCCTTCCCAGCCTGGAACCGGGCCTTGGCGGCCTCCATGCGCACAGGCTGCTGGGTCAGGGAGAAGACGTGAGCGAAGTCAAAGGCGCTCTGCCCATCCCACCAGCCCTGGGCCTGGGCATGGGGCCGAAGCTGGGGGTGTTCGGCTGAGATGTCTGTGCCAATGCTCAACTGATTGGAGATGTTTCGGGCCCCCCCTGTGGAGATGGGGGAGTCACTCATTTATCCTTCAGCGCTATTCTGTGCCAGGCACCTAGCGAGATGCCAAGAACTAGACAGTGAAGACCACAGACCTGCCCTCATGGACAGGGAGAGAGACCTAGCACAGGGAAAAATGTGCACTGGCAACTGTGGAGAGGGTGAGGAAGAGCCTGTGAGGGGGAAGCCTGACCACCAGGGGGTCCAGAAAGGCCAGGAAGCAGCAGCAGGCTGGCGCACAAGGAGGACTGACCAAGTGGACAGGGAGGAGAGTTCCCAATGGGCTCACTTCCCGCCTCCCTGGATGCCCCGCTAGCTATGAGATTTGCACTAGATCAGGTCCTCCCTGCCCTCTCCTCCCCCCAAAGGCTGGACAAGGGGAACACCTCTGGGAGGGAGACCCTCACCCTGGATCCTCTGTGCAGCCCATAGCCTCCCCGCCGTCTCCAGCACCCACGCCTCGGTCCTGTCGGACAGCAGGAAGGTGTTGTGGTAGCAGAATGGCGCAGGGTCCTCCCGGCAGCTGCCTCCCTGCCCGTAGCGCTCCAGCAGGCCTGTGACCACGCGCAAGGCCTCCTGGGCTGAGCTGCTCCGTTCTAAAGCCAGCCTGGCACAAAGAGGGGCCAAAGGACAGAAGGGTGTGGGTATCAGGGGCTGGGGGGAGAAGCTGCAATGGACAGAGAGGCCCAGAGAGGTTTGGTGACAGGCTCAAGTCAGCACTGACTGTGCTAAGCACAACTGTGACAGTGGCTTCGAGCTACATGCAGCACGTTACGTGTACAGACCTGAGAGAGTCTCAGAAAGAAGTGCCCAAGCACTTAATCTCTCTTCAATGGGAAGTGCTCATGTCACTGGCTTTAGAAGTATGAACTCTACATGAGATTTCATTTGAAAGACATTCTACTTCTTTTGAAAAAAAGGTTTTAAGCCACTGCCCTATTTCTAGGGCAGTAGAGGCCCAGGGAGGCCATATTAGTTAGCCTAGTCCTTCCCAGCCTGTGGGACTGGGGCCAGGAAGAGGGGCGGGGGCAGCCTCCCGGACAGAGCATGACTGCAAGGTGGGCACAAAGCTTGCAATCCAGGCCTGGGGAGGGGGATGGCCTGGTCAGTGCACAGTCCCCAGACTTATGGTATATGGACATGAGGGAGGGGTGGGTCCACAATGGGTCCACACCTGAGCAGATCCATGCCCAGCAGGGCTTCCCCCTCCCCAACGGGCTCCTTGGTCCACACGGCCTCATTGCCAATGCAGACACCATGTTCATTGGCGCCCATCTCAGCCCCCCACAGCCAAGAAGGGCGGCTCAGGATCACAGCGTGGGTCTTCGGCACTTGTTCCACCTCAATGTAGGTGCACTGGAGACAGGGAGGAGAAAGAGAGGATCTCCTCAACAGGGGAAGGCACCTCCAAAGTGCTGGCACCGTGCTAATCACCCCACAGCCCTTTGAGGAGGATCTTATTCCCAGTTTACAGATGAGGAAACAGGATGGCCGATGGCCTGGGTCAGGCTGGGGGGAGAGGGGCTCATCCTGTGCTCTTTTCCCACTAAATCTGACGGTTTCCCAGGTGTGGGAAGCAGAGAAGGAGGGGTCACAAGAATGCTGGATACGTCACACCCACCTGGAGGCGGCTCCCAGGGGTGTGAGTGCCCGCTGGTATGAACACCACCTCTTGGACCTCGTCCCGAGGTCGGTCCGAGTTCTTGGCAAAGATCACGGCCGGGATGGCCGAGGCCGGGGGCACGGAGACAAAGCAGTCGCAGGAACATGGGGTGTCAGAGCTCGACGATGCCATCTGGGCAGAGTGGGAATGAGTGCGCCCCTCGGGGACACCGCCCCACCGTCCTGGTCACGGCTCAACCACAGGGAGCCCCTGTCCCGACACGTGCCCAGACACCCAGGGAACACCCTGGCCCCGGCTTCTGGACGCCCGCCCCGCTCGTGCACCAGACGCGCCGAGGGCGCAACCGGGCACCCACTCTCCCCGCGGGCGCGCACACCTGCACGGAGTCGTGGCCCTTGGGTGCAGGGGGGGCCTTCTCCCTCCTACCCCACTTCTCTCCAAGCGCCCCACGCCCCCGCTTCTGGCTTCGCCTGGTAAGCCCCTCACCCCGTCTCCCTCCGAGTCCCCGGCTATGTCCCGAGCGCCACCGTCTCCGCGTGGGTCAGGTCGGCCCCTTGGGGCGGAGACTCCAGGTGACCTGGAAGGCCTCGCCGGGGAGGCGGAGCCGGAACCGAGTGCCTGCAGTGCCGCCGTGGCCCACCAGGGCGCGCGCCGGCACCACCTCGCGGAGCCGAGCCGCCTGCCAGCCCCGCCCGCGGCCGCCTCCCGGCAGGCGCCGCTCTCTGGCCCAATAAATTTGTAACGAATCTGTCGGTTCCTCCAATGAGGGCTCTGTGGGGGGCCGGGGGTGGGAGTGGAAAGGAGCCCAGGTGAGCAGGGCTGATCTGTTAGAGGGCGGGGACTGCTGGGGCGTGTGGAGATCAAGGAAGAACGTCAGCCACTTGAGGCTGGGTTTGAATTCCAGAGGCACAGCCCCAGCCAGGTTGGTGGTCCCCTGGTGAACAAGAGCTATAAAAGGGGTCACAGGCCAGGAGGAATAGGGATTACTTAAGATAATTCAATTTTTAAAAGGCTACATGTATGCGAAAACCCCAGCTGACCTCTGGTAGGCTGTTCTCTCTCCCCACGTAGGAAGAGAGCTGTGAAAAGAAGTTTGGAAATTTCTAGTGCAAAGACCTGGTGCCTTTACGAGTGAAACTGGAACAGCAAAGGAAAATCTTAGTCAAGGGGTCCTGAGAAAGACTGCATGCCAAATGTTCTGCTTTCCCGGTCATTGTCCTCTATAAACCAGCTCCATTACCAGCACTTAAGCAAGTGCCCCTCGCGCCTCTTTGCCCTTTGGAGGCCTCCAGGGGTGGGAGAAGGGAGACCTGCAGATTATTTACTTCTCCCGCCTCTTTTTTAAAAAAAAATTTATTTATTTATGCAGGTACAGGGGTACAGGCCAGAGGTGTTGGGGGTGAGAGGATTCACCAGACACAGAGTGGGGAACAGAACAGGCAGATTCACTGAAATATACTGCTGAGGGGAGCAGTGGGTGAGTCAGGAGAGGTCTGCTGCACCATTTGGATAGCTACCTTGCTGGGGATCGAACTCGTGCTGTAGTGGCTGCAGATAGCTTCATAGGTTGCATCTTAACCCCTTGCACCACCAGGGAGGCCCATACTTCTCCCGCCTTTGTGCCGCCCACCCATCAAGGCCACCAGCTTGAGTCCTCTCCACAGCATCTGAGGCTGTGGTCCCTGCTGGGGTGGGGATGAAAGCAGAGGACCAGGCTCTCCCAGGAGGCAAGCTGCAGGCAGGTAGGCAGAGGAAACCTGTCAGAGAAAGCCATTGGGGGATCTGAAATGTGACATATTTCACATTTGCCTCTAGATACGCAAGGTTGATGCCCAAGGATACTGTCTCCTGGGAGCTGGGCCTCACTTTCAGAAAGGAGACTTTTACTTGCAGAGAAGTGGGCTGGAGGCAGGGGAGAGGACTAGCTGGAGTTCTGGTATTCTCCCTGGTACCTCATCTTGCTTCTGCTGCAGGTCTGCAGGGTGTTTTTGGGCCTCAGTTTTCTCAGTAGCCACATGAAAGCATTGGACCAGACCAGATCAGTGGTCTTCAGCCATGGGGGATGGGGGTGGGGGGCTGGGAGGAGGGATTATTTTTCAACCAGACAACTCCACTGCACAACACAATACTTAAATCCTCTGCTTCTCGATGTATCCTTGGAATGCCATCATTAGCTTCACCTGGGAGCTTGTTAAGAATGTAATCTTGGGCCCCACCCAGACCTACTGAATCAGAATCTGCATGGTAATGAGTATCCCAGGTGTGAAGCCTGAGAAGCTCTGCTCTAATCCACCCCCAAGGGGCATAACTCGGTGAGGTATTGGAGAGTGAGTTGGGGTATCTTGAGTTATTCTAAAATGCCCTGTACCCAGTGGGAAGAACTAGCCTATTTGGTGCTGGAGATTCTTTCCAAACCCTGTTGAGGTCAGATTCTCTGGTTTTAATGGGAAGGTGAAGGCTACTTCTGATGCAGTGTTGGGAAAGGGCGGTGAGGTGGCTGCGGGATGCCAGCCCAGAAGCCAACATCAAGGTGGTGTGCATGTGACAAATACAAGCACTTAGCCACCTGCTGAAAGTGGGCTCACCTCCTGTACATCCCCAGATTCCCACTAGAGGGCAGAAACAGGCAGGAGAAGAAGTGTGAGTTGCCTAGCACAGCTCCAGGCTGCATTCCCAGGCTTCCTGCTTCTCTGTCACTTTCCCATTCCGGATTTCTTTCACCCACACTAGAGGGACTCTATTCCCACTCTCCAGAAGAAGAGATGGTGGCTCAGAGAGGTGTCCAGAGGGTTAGCCCAAATGTTCTGATTTCCCTAACTCCTCCCGGCCCCTCCTGCAGTGCGGAGGGGTGAATGCCAGATCTGACTGGGTCAGAGGTTGGGCTCTGTCAGGGGGGCCTGGCCAGCCAGGCAGCATTGCTGTCAGGATAAGAGTGAGAGAGCTAGCAAGCATCAGACAGAGCCCCACCAAAGGCCCCCGCTAAGAATGCAGGTCAGCGGGGAGGAGCTGCAAGGGAGGAGGGGCGGCCCCAGCCCTGCCCAGACAGGCCCAGCTGGCCTCACAGCTGCCCTCCTGTCCCTGGGGGCAGTGCTGGGGGAGAAGGAGAGAACTGGCTTCCCGGGGGTCTAACTCCCCAGGCATGAGGAAGACAAAAGAGTGGGGCAGGCTTGAGGTCACAGGAATACTCCCTGACTCTCCTCCCAGGCTTCGAAATCCAGGAGCTGGTTGGTCCCCCAAGCCATCCGATTTCTTCTATAACCCTCGCAACATTCTGACGCCCCACCCTATGGTGCCCTTAAACTGTGACCCCAGATTCCCCCAAACAAGTGATGGGATGGGCCAAGCTGGATACCAGATTTGGCTCTAAGAATTGGGTTCAGATGAGGGTAGGGGGAAATAGAAACCCCATCAAGGAAGTTAATCATTTTGGCCAAAATCTTGGATGGGAAGGTGAAGGAGCACTGTAACCTACTCTGCCCCGTCCCAAGATGGAGCCCAAGATGAATCCTCCAACAACCTTCCTAGCTGTGGCTCTGGAGTCATGAGGGTTTTACTCATTTAGCATAAATTAGGCACCAACTGCATGTCAGATATCAGGCATCCTGGGAAAGGGGCGCATTTCTGCATGTGCGAGGGCGCCTATGGGCCCAGTGCGGGTACATTGCACGCAGCGGGTTGTGTAACTGGCTGGTCGCTAGCTGAGAGCTGCAGTGCGAGCCTTTCCCTCATACTTTCCAGCTGGGCGGGAGCCCATCAGATAACTTGGCTGCCTTTCATCGCCTTGTCCCTGATAGGGATCATCTTGAGTGAAGAAATCCTGTCAGTCACCCCCACCTCACTCACAGCCAGAGGGACCAATTGACACGCACACCCCCATGGGGTGGGGTGAGGGAACCCAGAGGCGGCTATCTCAGGCAGGCAGGGAGCAGGGAACCAGCCTGCTTGGCAGGGGAGGGGAAGGAAGGGGCCTACATGTGGAGGAAGGAAATATCTAGAACCTTCTGGTCCCTACTGGTGGAGACTGGGGAGGGACAGTCCACCCAGAGGGAGCTCCTCCCCCCATCTGCAGCAACCCCTCCAGGGCAGGAGGGCAGTCTTGGACCCTTCTATCAGCCCAGATCTGCCCCAAAGGGAGGTGAGGTTGCATATTGCTGCAGATCAAAGGAACTGTCCACCCCACCCCGCAGCCATCCTGGTCTTCACTGCAGAGGGCCACTGAGTCAAAAAGGAAACTCGAACTGGAAGACAAATGAAGCGACGATGTGGCTGACGACTTTATTATGGCATAAAAAACACAGGCTGTTTCTTCCTCCTCCTCCCCCCCCAAAGTGGGTTCACAGCAGTTAAAAGAAAAAAAATTCCTACATTTCTCCTCTAGGGGGCTGCCTCTAGGGGGGCAGCCAGGCACAACCTAGATCTAGAAAGGAGGGGAGCAGAAGAAAACTTATCCAAAGCCCTCACCAGCACACCTTAGAGCTCAGGGCCTCCCTGGGGGGGACATCCGTGTCCCTCCACCACCAACACCCATTCAGGAATTCTCCTTAGAAGGGTCACAGGAAAGGCTGTCCTGATGGCACAGGGTGGGGGTGGCTGGTTTCGATGGGTGGAGGAGAAAAGGCATCCCACACCCACAGTGCCCTCCTTCTCTCCCCCTCTCCACCTGGCCAGGCAACCCACAGGCACTGCCAACTGTCCTCCCCCCGCCCCCCCAGCAAGGACAGGGACTCTGGCTGGGTTAGCAGGAGGGAGGGGGAAAGGGAGAATAAAGAAAGAACATTACTTCTTAAACTACCCCGGGCCCATGAGCCCCTCAGGGACAGTCACTCTGTCCCTTTTAAGGGCTCCCTTCTCCACAAACATATTCCCACCCTCCCGGCCCCACTTCCCATGTAGCTCCCAGTCCTCGGAATGGGGTCTAGCATCCCCATGGGAGGAAGAGACACTGTGGGCCTAGCCCCCAGGACCGTGGATGATGTGAAAAAGATGGGGTCTCCCTGGCTGGAGACCCCAGGCTCAGTAGAGAAATACACACATGCTCACATACCATGCACACACACACACACCACAGCTACACGTAGTACTGAACACCACACACACATACACTCCCTAATATTAAATAAAATACCCTTTGCTTATAACTTAAAAATCAATACACAACTAATCCTTGAATAGCGCTCTGGGTGGAGAAAGGGGCAGGGCAGGGGAGTCCTAAGGCCTCTTCCTGGGCCCACCAGCCCCTTCCCCAGATCAGCTTCTTTCCCTTTGCCTGGCTCAGCCTCTGCTGGGCCCGCCCCCCCCACCCCTTCCATGATCACAGTCAGGATGGACTGCTAGCATCTACAGGAACAGCTTCCTGGACATTAGCGCAGAAGGCAGAACCCCTTCCAATGGAGCACAACTCCTTCCTATGGAAGGGGGCCCCCCATCTCATGAGAAGGGGCAGGAAGGCACCTCCTAACACACTCTGCAGGAGAGACAAGGCTTGCAGGCTGCAGAGAAAGGGGAGGGTGGAGCTGAAGAAACAGTGGAACTTACTTCCCCAGTGAGCAGATGGCAGGGTAGAGGAGCCCTCCAATTTCAGCGGGACCCACTTACTGGTGGGTCCCCACCCACCCCAGGTAACCCTCTTCCTTCCAGGCCTCAGGGGAAGGCAAGTGATGGGACCAGGTACTACATCCATTCTAGAGTGGGGCTTCTGGTTGCCCTGGAAGCTTACACGGGGTATCAGATGGAGAATGTGGACTACTGAACTTTCTTTTTTCTAAAGGCCAAGCGTTTAAGGACTGAATCAGCTGGAGGGAAGGAGTGAGTTCCTTCCATTCCCCCACCAGATCCCTTTCTCGCATTGGAGAAGGGGACTTCCTAGCTCACCTCCCACGTCTAGCTCTCTCCTCCACCCCACAGCTCAGGCTGGGACGCTGGGGTGGACTCTGGCCCTCCCCCCTTTTCCTTCATGGCACCCTCCAACTGGGTCTGGCAGGGTTAATAAGGAGGTGCATCAAAGGAGTTCTCTACAGCAACAACCCTGGACCCCCAGCCTCCCCTATCTCTCAGGAAACCCTAGGGGTAGAAGCACGTAATACCGGGGATGAAAGGGGCCGGGGCCACAGGGCGGCTCCGGAGGCGCTTTTATGTCACGGTTCCCAGGCGCTAAGGACGTGTCCAGACAGCTCCCCCCAGCGCCAGGGGCGGCCCCACTCCTCCGGGCTCTGGGGACTCGCTGTCTCCTCCAGCCGGTCCCCTCCGCCCTCCAGCCGCGGTTGGGGTTCCTCCACTGCTCCCCCAGCCCAGGGGTGAGGAAGATAGCGAGGAAGCGGAGAGCAGAGGGGCCTGCGAAGCTCCTCGCAGCCCGGCCCGTCCAATGCGCCCCGTCCAGCCCCAGACTAAAACCCCTACAGCCCGTCTCCCTGCCCCGCACCGCCTTTGCTCCCCCTCCATAGAGAACCGCCTCTGCCTCCAGCCGCCCCTCCGGGGACTCAGGCGGAGGGGAAGGGGCGCTCGTCTGAAGCCCCCCCGGGGAGGCCAGCAGGGAGGCGGTGCCCCGGGGCTCAGTTGGAGGGAGCCCCGCCGCCCTCGGACTCCCGCTTCCCTTTGCCCCCGGGAGGCTCCACCGCTCCGCCCGCCTTGCCCTCGCCCGCGGCAGCCCCCGCAGCCTCCTCCTTGGCGCCCTCGTGGGTTTTCATGTGTTTGGCCAGGTGGTCGCTGCGCATGAAGACGCGGCTGCAGACGGCGCAGGGGAACTTCTTGGTGCCCGTGTGGGTCTGCAGGTGGCGCTGCAGCTCGTCGGAGCGCGTGAAGCGCTTGCCGCAGAAGAGCCAGTTGCACACGAAGGGACGGTCGCCGCTGTGCCAGCGCAGGTGCGCCTTCAGGTGCGACGTCTTGGCGTAGGCTTTCCCGCAGCCCGGGATGTGGCAATTATGCAGGTGCTTCTTCTTGCCCCCATCGGGCCCGCAAGGCGCCCCCAGTCGCTCCGCCTCCAGGCAGTTGGGACAGCGGCACACTGTCTGGCCTGAGCTGCGGGGCACTGACCGCCGAGAGCCTTTGGGTCGGGTCGCCCCGTCCAGACTGGAATCCAGCCCCTGGGACTCCGGGGCGGCCGCTTCCAAGGCCTTCGCCCCGTCCGGAGGCCCCAGGAGGTGCTGCCCTCCGGCGGCTGGGAGGAGATGGTGCGGGTGTGGGTGGGGCGGCGGGGCACAAAGCTGGTGGTCTCCGACGTAGCCCCCCAAACCAGCCTGAAGCGCCCCCGGGTGGCCAGGTGAGGTCAGCGCGCCCTGAGTGTGGGGGAGGTCCATCCAGCTGGTGCCCGGATGAAGGTCCCACCATGAGCCATCCTCGGTGCCTGGGTGAGTCGGCCGGAACCACGATTCGTAGTGGTGTGACATGTCCGGCTGCAGGAGCTTGGAAAAGGGTCCCGGGGCCAAGGGACTGTCACTTTCCAGGTCCTCGCAGGTTACCCGAGAGGAGGCCCCCGGCAACTCATAGCCCTGTGAGAAGTCCACCTCTGGGCCCAGCGGGAGGCTCTGCAGCTCTCCAGGCTGCAGCGGGGAGGGGTAGTCCCCGGCCTCGGGGCTCGTGTGGCCCTGGTATGTTTGGAGAGGCTGCAGGTCGAGGCGCGGCGGGGAGGCGTGAGGCGCGTCCGTGTGCTGGCTGCCCAGAGAGCCGCAGACAGCGGTTAGCATTGCCGGGATCCGGGGTGGGGTGGGGGACAGGGACGGTCAAGGGCACCTCGGGTGGGACCTGAAGGAGGCAAAGAAGAGTTGAAGTGAGGAAAATGGCCACCTCACTTTCAGTCCCAAGCCACGGCCCCTCCCTGCAAAGTGATCCTCTCTGGCCCCCAGGTGAAAGAGCGAAACCCCCCTCTGCACGGGCACTAAGGATCAGTTAAGGGACTTTAGGAGTCCTAGGAAGGGTTGCGGTTGTGAGGTTCTGGGCTAAGTGCAGAGGCTAATGGAAGTCAATCTTCCCTTAGGTGATCCTTCCTCTAGGATTCAGTTTATCCTGGGGATTGGGCTGGTCCCAGACTGGCAGGTCAGATAGACCCCAGTACAGCGCTGGAACCCACTCCAGGTGCCCAAGCAGTGGCAGACTTGCTGTCAGCACACATGAAGGATCTAGACCCCACTCAGCTTCCTTAGTTTAACTCAGGACACAGATGGGCAGAGCGAGGTGGTCTGTTTCTGAAACTCAAAGCTGGAGGTGATCCAGCTTCCCAAAGCCCAAAGCTGGTTCACAAATTTTGGAAAAAGAGCTCTCCTCTGGGGCATATTCACTGAGGAAGAGCATTTCATTGCTCTATGCCACTTTCCCCTTCACTGCCCCCACCAAGCCCACTTGCCTTAGCCCAAAAAACCTACTCCCACCTCTGGCCTCCTCCCCTTTCCCTTAGCCAGGGATTTTAACTCCCTGGGGTTCAGCAGCTCAGCTTTTCAGGTGACTTCTCTCACCGCCTGCGGAAGCTAACCCCTTTCCCTATCCTGACCCACACCAGTGCCTGCCAACTCTTTGGCTGCTTACCCAGGCCCTACCTCCTCCAACCACCCATAGTCACTCACTCCACTTTGGGAGGGGTCAGCTTCATCCAGAGAACAGTAGGTCAGTGGAAAAGAGCCTACCAGTAAACCACGCTTTTAGGGATGCAGCCTCAGAACCGGGGAAGTGGAGGGTTGTGAGAGCGAGAATCATAACTTACGAAGAATTATCCAAATAGATGATATAATGGGGTACATTTTAGGAATGGGTCATTTTTAAGAGCTCCCTAGACGACGGCAATATGCAGTCAAATGTTGAGACCCACTGCTCAAGGTCAATCCTCTTATTTTAGAGAAAAGAGGAAATTGAGACAGTATTGGGAGAAGTGATTTGAAAACAAAGACATTAATTTATTCATTCAGTCAACCACCCTGTAGTGTGTGCCTCTATGAACCAAGTCTTTGACTACTGGTATGTTAATCTCTCCCTGAACCACTGGGCACTAATGCCCCCACCTCTTTCTCCACCACGCATGGGTGACTTGAAGGTCCTCCTTTCTCATCACCTCTGTCTAAGGCCTGGGAACCCTGAAGCCATAGGATCACAGGGCTTGTGTGCCTGGGCCTTATCTGATGGTGGGGAAGGAAACACAAGTTTGGGGCAGGGACTTTTCCTTCCCACAGAGGGCTCAGCTGACCCTACCACTTTCAGCCTCAGGGACCAGGGAGGTGGCCCAGGTAGTCTGGGAGAGGGAGGGCGAAGAGGACTGGGCGCCTACTCAGGCTCCTGCAACCTCACCACAAGAAAGGAGAGAAGCAGCAGGAATGGAGCCTCAGGCCCAGGCGGGGCGGCCCAGAAGGGGCTGGGCGGGAGGAGAGGCCTGGGACCCTAATAGCTTTTGGCGCCTGGGAACTGCCCCAGGGGCTAGGGGGTGGGGAGGCTAGGACGACCCAGGCTCCGGAGTGGACGCTCCGGGTACGGGGCCAGGGAGCTTAGTCTGGGCTGCAGTGGCCTGATACCAAGGTTTCGGGAAGGGCACAGCGAGGAGCGCGTTCCCGGCTTTCCGTTCCCTTCCCCAACAAGGGAAGGCGGGTGGAGACACCCTTATTCCCCCTCCCTTCCCCCTGCCGCCGACAGCCTCTCCCGATCCCCGGCGTTCAGGTGGTCAGGGCTTCCGTGCGCCCAGTTCTCAAGGCTCCCGTCCTCTGGCTGTCCCAGTCTCTCCAGTTCCCCCAGTTTCCTGCCTCCTCGGTCCCTCCAGTCTCTCCCGTCTGCCCAGTTTTCACCACTCCGAGACGCTAAGCCCCTCGGCGTCTTCAGGACCACCGCCCTCAAGACCTCAGGAAGTCGCGGCGTGTTCCCTTGGAGGGGACACGGCAGTGCGCACCCCTCGCCGCCCCGGCCCGGGCTCCTACCTCGAGGCTGCGCGCGGGCTCCGGACGCGGCTGGCTGGGGCGCTGCAGACTGGCGCTCGCGAGCCCTGCGCGCCGGCGGGCTCTCCAGCGGCGGGGGCAGCGGCCGAGGGCGCGCGGGGGCCGCGATCAGACCGGGCGGCTGGCGGCGGAGGAGGGGCGGAGAGAGCCGGCGGGAGGGCGGAGGGCGGGCTGGAGCCAGCGAACGAGCGAGCGAGACCTGCTCCGCCCGTGACTCACCCGCGCGCTCTGCCTTCATCCTCTGCCCTGCGCTCCTTTTTCCCCAATTCGCGGCCCCGCCCACCTCACCTGCGGCCGCCTTTAACCCTTGCGGGCTGGGTCCGGCTGGAGGCCGAGCCGGGACGGGCCCGCGGGGGGCGGGCGCGGAGCGGAGGAGGGATGGCTAACTAGGGCGCAGCCCGCCCCTCGCTCCTCCTTAACCTCTCCAGGGCGAGGGGCCTGGGCGGAGTGTTTCCCAGGTTCTGAGACCCGCCCCATTGGGGAAAGAACTGTCCTGGAGCTTGATTTGGTACCGGACCCAGGACTCGGACCCTGGGGGAGTAGAGTCGGGCCCAGGGGGAAGGTCCTGGGGAGGATGCAGAGCCACTTTAGCACGCGTTTGCCTCGACGGCCCTCGAACCTTCCTTCTCGGCCGGGTCCCACTGAGAGGGTAGACACAGGATTGAGCGCCAAGTACGTGTTCGGTCTCCCCCCAATTCCTAGGCCGTGAGAAATTTGTCTTGGCTGCTGCTCTCTTTCGCGCGTCTCCCCGTCACCACCACCCTATCCCAGCCTTTGCGCTCTCGCTGTCCGGTCCCCCCTTTCCGACCACTCGCCATTTTGGGGGCCTCCTCTGCTTTCCCGGTGTACCCAGCTCTGCCCGCATTCGTCTCCCAGCCCCTCAGCTCTCATTCTCCACCTCCCCTTAGGCAGCAACCCCAACACCTCCTAAGTACACTCCTCAAAAATGCTCGCCCCCGCCCGTCGGTCCTGGAGCGGCTCAGTCATTGCCCCTCCACTCTCGTCTAGCGCGCTCACCCCTGAAAGCTGGGACGGGTTGCCTCAACGGTCGTGAGAAGGGATACTTAATGGGAAAAAATTGGGTGAACCCTTGTCGCCACACCTTCCTGACTCTCACCTGCTCGTTTGAACCCAAGATACTTCACTTTGTGGAAGGAAAGTTCCCCTCGGTCCCCACCCCTCTGGCCTGTGCGCCCGGGTAGCCCGCGCTCCCTTCCCGTCGGTGCCTGCACTAGTCGCCTCTTCGGCCCGGGGAGGCTCCTGTTCTGCAGGGGAATTCTGATCAGTTTCCCTAATTTTTTTCGTTGAGCGAGTTGCATTTCCCCAGGCGCTTTGACATCGGCTTTTTAAAAATTCGTTTTTGTCTTTACAGTCTATTTCGTAAAGGCAGAACGGAATCTTTATTCAATCCGCCTCTAGCCACTTTGATTCCACCGTTGGTTCACCCGCCCCACGTTCTGGTTTGGGACCCGCGCGAAGTGCGACTGTGGCTTGAAAGTCGCCTGGAAATCGATCTTTGTACGTGTGGAGCTCCCTCAAACACGTTTTCCTAGCCAGGGTCAATGTCAGATTCCTCTGTACAAATGTCTCTTTTCTAAGACTCGATTTTCTCATCTGGACTGCCCGGGTGCAAGCTGGGGCTTAAAGAAATAGACTTTCCTAAAACAGCCCTGTGGGGTTCCTGGTAAGCAAACGGTAAAAGAAGATAACTCAGTGGTGGTGTTATAATTATTCAGTAAGTTTGTCCCCAGTAAATATCTGTCGGATTAAGTAAGATACATGCACCAAGCTCTTTCGAAGTCTGTGGACCTAAATTCTAGCCCCAATCCTGCACTTGGCTAAATTGCACTTGCCCTCAGCCTCAGTTTCTCCGAGGCTGAATGAGCCCAGAGTTGCCACCAATGGAGTAAAGGACAGTTTCCAGAAGCCACGAGTTACCCCCATGGCATCAGGGGCTGTACTTTCTGATGGGTTGGCTTTCCATCTGTCCACGCAGGCCCCTGAGATGTAGATTCTTAAGAGCTGTTCTGGGTCTCTGGTCATACTGCATCGACAGCCCTCTCTACTCAATTTGCAAATTGAGGCTAGATTTGCATCCTAGTTCAGAGTCACATCCAGAAGAGGTTCTCCTGTCACAGAGCCAAGGACTGGAAGTGAAGTCTGATTGGACTTCTCAAGCCCTAGGCATTCTCTGCCTCTGCGGTTCTCCATCCCGCAGCCCGAGAAGCCCCCCAGCCCACTCGCCTCCTTGTTTGTTCGGGAAGGTATTGATTCTAAGTTGCTAGCAACGCCTGAGCAGGGTCTGACTCTGGGTGAGGGTATGAGTCCTCCCTCCCGTTTATCTATAAGCACCAGATTGTCTTATTTCCTGGTTCTGTCCATATCCCTGGAAAGCAACAGGGAAAGGCATCCAGCCTCTGCATGGTAGACAGCCCACCCCACTTTCCTTCTCCACTCCCTTTAACCAGCCCCTGCCAGGATCCACAACCACCTAGGGTGCCCAGAACAAAGACCTTCCATCTGCTCCTGGCTCATTAGGATAAAATTCATCTGTGATGCAACTGTCCCAGAAAGCTCAGTCATTCTGATTTACTGCCCTGCCTAGGTTTCTGCCTCTGACTCCAGTCACTTTCTTCCAGATCCCTCTCTACTTTGGTCCTTGATTTCAGCCTTCTTGGTTGCCCACTTATTAGGCGTTTTGTGCCGAGCGCAGTGCCCAAGGGGTGATGGGGGCATGCTACCACATCAGCATCTGCCCATTGCTGTTATTCCTATCTCAGAATTGATCAATGCTGCCCCCACACCTCCCACACAAACTGAGATCTGCCCAGGACTTGCACCATATCTGCCCCTCTCCCTCCTGCCCCTCAGCAGGTAAATGGGCAGATTTTGCCACAAATGTTCATCTCCCATTCCCACCATCCTACTCCTACTCACACCTTCATTATAGCCAACAACCCATTTTTGTACCTGGAGCAGCCTTATTAGTTTCCATGTTCATCATAGCCAGCATTTATTTATTGAGCACCTACTATGTTCCAGATGCTTCACAAATATCTCTAATTCTCACAAGCACGCAGCAAAGTAGTTATCATTATTCCCCCATTATACAGATGAGAAAGCCAAGGATCAAAGAAGTTAAATGACCTGCCTAAGATTACAAAGCTATTAAGAGACATAAAGAAACCGATCAGATCTGTCAGGCTCTTAAGTCCGTGTTCTGCCTGCTATTCAACCAACCTCACTATGGCAGAAGTGATGGCTGTGGGAGTCTGACTCCCCTAGATCCTGAAGGTAGAGAAGACAGCATTCTTAAACTAATCCCTAGATCAAAGCTGTCCGTGATCCTGAGTTTAATAGGACAAGCTGATCCCATCTTGATTGCTGGGACAAGTCACAGCTACATCTGTGGTCCCTTCCAAACCTCAATTGTCCTTCTGTGGCGATTACACTATGAGAATATCAAAGCTGGTCTGCCCATAAAAATTGTCTAGTGCAAACCCTCATTTTCCTGACAAAGAAACTGAACACCAGAACAAGGAGGTGAGTAGCTCAGAGTCACACAGCAAGTTAGAAGCAAAACAGGGACCAGAATCCCAGTCACCCAACTCCTGGCTTCCCAGTTGCTCACTCTTCTCCACTTCCCACCTCACCTCCAGGCTGCATTTGAAAGACAGCTGGCTGTTGACCCTGACCTCAGTCCACCCCCACACTCTCCCAGGTTCCTGGGAAACTGAACAGGGTCCAGACCTAGGGCAAATTATTTTCTTTCTTCCTTTATTTATCAACAAACACTTACTGAGGACCTTCCTAGGGTCAAGCCCTATGCTGGAGACTAATTCTATTATAAATCCAAATATCACAGGCATCCATATTTGCTTTTAGTCTGAAATATGAACCCAGCTGAGGATAGTGAATCTGTATGGTGTGTGTGTCTATGTGAGTATCTGCAGATGCTGTGACCATCATGCTATTGTGTCCACCTCGTGGATATGTGTACCTCTGGGGCTTGAATTTGAGGTGTCTGTCTTATCTTCTCCATCATAAAGGGAGTTCCCCACAGGATGCATATGGCAGTTTCTCCCTCGCTACTTCTGCAGGGTCTCTGTCATGCACGCACTCCCATGTGGTGTGTGCTCTGCATGCTCGCCTATTAATATTAGCCCATCTTTTCTCTCAGAATGAAGTCCCCCATCATCTGTTCACTGGTGGAGCCTCATTCCACATCTCCCAAATCAGCCCCCAGAGACTTCCAAAGAATCTTCTTTGCTTCTCCATGCAGACCCCTCCAAGATCTCCCCCTTATCTTCTCCTCCCCAGTTCAGACACAGTCAAGGCTTCCAGATCCTTCTCTATGACCCTCACTTAGAGTGGAGGCCTGATCCTCTTGTTCCCTGAACCAGACAGGAAACAGCCCCTCTTACCAGTCCATGGAGCCCAGAGCTGGCAGCAGCAGTGAGGGGCAAGTGGGGGTGACGACAGGAGAGCCAGGCTTTATAAAGGAGGCGACAGTCAGAGCCAGAGGGGGAGGTGAGAGATGAGGGCAGGGATGCTGCCAAGTCCTCACGGCCTCGGAAGCTTTTAGGATAATCCAGGAAACAGTGGCCCCCAGCTCTCCTGGGGGAGTGTTAGGGGGTGAGATCTGAGGCTCAGGTCTGCCAGGAGAGGGGGATTTCAGCTGAAAGAGGCAGCTGGGGGTGGGGATGGGGAGCAGGACTTCCTTCCCTCCACAGAGATCTGACCGGCAGCAGGACAGGGACAAAGTGGCGCTTATAAGATGGAGGAAATGGGAGCGTGGCTGGGGGGAGTTGGGGGGGCGCTGGCAGGACTGGAACTTTCCAAATTCCATCTCTCTCCTTTCGAGATTTCTTCCCTGGACTTGGTGGGAAAAAAGAAGTCCCACTTTTAAGACCTGAAACACACACACACACACACACACACACACCTGAAAGTTGGTCCCTCCCCACAGGGACCCCTCCAGTGCTGGTTCCTTCAGGGTCTCTCCTGTTTCTGCTGGAGC